CTTTGGAATCTTGCAAGTTGCACAGCATACCGGCATTGGTATTGAACATGGCGGTGCTTTACCATGTCTTTTACTTTCATCATCCGAGGAAATATATACTTTTCGAGGTTTCCTCTCTCTAGATGGTTTTTTGCCCGAATTACATGGTGGCAGTGGTACAGGCACTGCTACTGGCGGACACAATTTGCGGCATTTTAACTTGCATTTCTTGGGCCTGGGGATTGTTCCAGCATCGTAATCTTCATCATCGGTGGAATAATACAATTTTCGCATTTTCTTCGTTCTAGATACGTCACTCCCCGAGTCACATGGTTCCGTTGGCTTTTTTTCTGTCCTGGCTCTTTGGACACATATTGGCAGAGGTATAGGTGTTATAACTGGCGGTTGGCTGGCCTTTGTTTCCTTGGTGCTCAGCACCATGGGCTTAGTAGAAGTGCGGGCTGTTGCATGTCGGTCACGTTCATCATCGCTGGGATGATTCTTTCTCGTTTCAAATATCGGTCCAGATAACTCGCTCACAGAATCACAACTATCTTGCTTCGACTTTCGCGGCATTCCTATGGGCACTGGCGCAGCTATTGGCACCGGCGCAATCTTTGAATCTCTCCTGGCTTGTGCTTTAGGTTTTTTCGTACTTTTATCACCTTTATCATCGAAATGATCCTCCTTTTGCAATGTTTTCCGTTTTGTTAGCAATTCAGATAATTCGCTGCCAGAATCACAACTTTCTATCTCCGACTTGCGAGGCATACCAAATAGCAGTGGTTGACTTCTTCGCTCCGGCAGGACCTTTGGCTCCTCAGCTTTATCACCCTGATTTTGGAAGTTATCCTCTTCTGGCAATGTTTTCCGTTGTGTTAGCCATTCAGATAAGTCGCTGCCAGAATCACAACTCTCTCTCTCCGACTTACGCGGCATACCAAATAGCAGTGGTTGACTTCTTCGCTTCGACTGGACCTTTGGCTTCTTAACTTTATCACCCCGATTTTGGAAATGATCCTCTTTTTGCAATGTTCTCCGTTGTGTTAGCCATTCAGATAAGTCGCTGCCAGAATCACAACTTTCTCTCTTCGACTTACGCGGCATACCAAATAGCAGTGACTGACTTCTTCGCTTCGGCTGTGGCGTTGGCTCTGGCGTTGCCATTGTCGTTGGCACATTACAAACACACTCACTCTGCACAGTAGGTGCTGTTGGCCTAGCCTCGGCCTGTGCCGTTTCTGCAGTTTCATCTCCAATAATATAGTACAATGGATCGTACTGGCATAGGCGCTCCTGAAACAGTTCCGGGCCCGGGAAGCTGGGCTGAGTGCCGCGATGGCCCACAGCATGGGCAGCACAAATATTGGCAGCACTAATGTGACTCTCTCGCATCAAATTTGGATAGATTGATATGTGATAAGCCAAGCTGCCCAGAAAAGCATCGGATGCACCCGAAGTATCCGCCAAGTAGGGGACGCGCGGTGCGGGTACATGGGTGCACAAATCCGGCTCACTACTAGACATGTAAACGGCACCCTTTTCGCCCATGGTTATGATCACACTATTGGCACCCATCTCAATCAGATCAGTAGCCGCTGCTTTGGCATCCTCCAGTGTGTCGATCTGCTCCCGATTGGTTAGCTGCGCCGCCTCTAATCTATTGCAGCAGAGAATCGTTGGTGCTCTGATCAGTTCTAAGTTCATGTTGGCATGTGCTGGCGAGACATTCAATATAGACACGCCCTTGAAGTGATGCAATGCGAAGAGGACAATCCTCTCGTCTGTTTCCAGTTGGCAAAGCAGAACTTTAGCATGCCTGAACAGTTTTCTGGCGTTCAAAACATCATTGCACTTTAGCATCATATTCGCGCCGGATAGTACAATGTTCATATTTCGGGCATTTTCAGCCACATTGATCTCAGTCAGGCCAGTTGATTGGCCATCAATTATTTCAACATGATCTACATTGATATCCAATTCTTTCAAGTACTCTAAATATTGCGCGCCTAGCTTATCGTTGCCTAGTTTGGAGATCAGGGCGCATCTGGCACCCAATTTGGCAGCAGCCACACACTGATTGGCCCCCTTGCCCCCATAGCAACAATCACGGTGCACGCCAAACACAGTTTCTCCCGATTTGGGCAGTTCATTGACATAGCTGCATAAATTTGGAATAACTGCTATAGAATGAATGGCAATTCGAATAGAGGCGAGCTTACTTAATATAATCAATATTTGATGAACCAAAGACCAAGACATCTAGCTCCATTTCATCTTTTTTGTGCAAACATGGGGACAGGGTGTTTAAAAAACGTAAGGATTACAAATTTAAAAATGAATGACTTAAAACTCATTTGTTGACGCTCATACAGATTGCTTATAAATCAGCAAATCCGATAAGCGAAGTTCCGGTTTCTGAGGGGCAATACGCGAATACCCCTTCATAATACATAAATTCAACTTCAACTAATTGATTTGCAGACAACTCGAGGTTGACAATTAAGGCTCGCCTCAATGAGCTCAGAGTATAAAAAAGAGGAACATGTATGTTTTCTTTGAACAGAGATTTATTAGAAAGGTTTTGAGAGAAAAAAACACTGGTAATTTTGAGCGTTAAAATTTTCAAATTGAATTACTACTAATTTGAGTGATGTGAGCTCTCGATTGATGTTTTTAACATTTGATTAACATTTGGGATCTGGGCTGCTGCTTTCTTGCTTGACACGGGCGTTGTCTTTGCCGCTGTCACTGCCGCAGGGATTGCCACTCCTGCTGACACTATCATTGCCGCTGGCGATCCCGTCGCTCTTGGGTCTGCCAGTGCCGCTGGTATTTCGTCTGCCACGGTCATTGGCTCTGGCGATGTTGTTGCTGCTGCCGCAGGTATTGGAGCAACAATTGGCGCAGCTGCAGTTGCTGCCTCAGGCGTCGTTGCCGTTATGTCGGCTGGTACACCTGCATTTAGGTCTCTGCCAGTATTGTCGTCAATTATATAGTACAAAGGATCGAACTGGCATAGGCGCTCCTGAAACAGTTCTGGGCCCGGGAAGCTGGGCTGAGTGCCGCGATGACCAACCGCATAGGCGGCACAGATATTAGCAGCAATGATGTGACTCTCTCGTATCAAATTTGGATAGATTGATATGTGATAGGCTAAACTACCTAAAAACGCGTCGGACGCACCCGAAGTATCCGCCAAATAACGTACTGGTGCTGCCGGACACTGAGTGCACAAATCGGGCTCACTACTAGACAAGTAAACGGCCCCCATATCGCCCATGGTAATGATCACGCTATTGGCACCCATCTCGATCAGATCAGTAGCCGCTGCTTTGGCATCCTGCAATGTGTCGACTTGCTCTCGGTTGGTTAGCTGCGCCGCCTCTAATCTATTGCAGCAGAGAATCGTTGGTGCTCTGATCAGCTCCAAATTCATGTCTGTGTGTGCTGGCGAGGCGTTCAGTATGGACACGCCCTTGAAATGATTTAGTGCGTAGAGGACAGCCTTCTCGTCTGTTTCTAGCTGGCAGAGTAGAACCTTTGAGTGTCTGAATAGTTTTTTCGCGTTGCTGACATCGGTGGCTTTTAGCATCAGATTTGCGCCGGATAGCACAATGTTCATATTTTGGGCATTTTCAGCCACATTGATTTCAGTCAGGCCCGTCGACTGGCCATCCATCATTTCAACGTGATCCACATTGATCTCTAGTTCCCTCAGATATTCTAAGTATTCTGCGCCTAGCTTATCGTTGCCCAGTTTGGAGATTAGGGCGCATCTGGCACCCAGTTTGGCAGCAGCCACACACTGATTGGCCCCCTTGCCCCCATAGCAACGTTCCCGGTGCATGGCAAACACAGTTTCTCCCGATCTGGGCAGATCATTAACATAGCTGCATGAATTAGAAATAATTGAAATGAGTTTGAATGAGGATTTGAGTGTGAGGCGAGCTTACGTAATATAGTCAATATTTGATGAACCAAATACCAAGACATCTAGCTCCATTTTGTTCTTTTTGTGCTTGCAGAGGGGCGGACTATTCGAGAATTTTATTGACTTCAATTTCAAAATGAATGACTTAAAAGTCTCTTTCAAAGATTTATACAAATTGCTCATGTTATATGTATCAGCAAAGCAAATAAGAACAAACGTTTTCCGTTCTGAGGAGCAAGGTTGAGAATATCTGGTTTTAAATAACACACAACACACAATGATTAAATTAAACTTCAAACATTTGACTTGCATATACAGCCAACTACAGGCTGAATAAAAGGGTGATCATAATATTTTAAAAATTGTTTAATGACTCATCTGGCAGTTATCAAAAAAAAAAAAATATATATATATATATAAATATATTATCAAGATTTCATAGAGTGATATCAGATTTTAAAAGGGTGTGTGTATGGTCCTTAGAGGTTTTTAGTTATACAGATTTGAGGAGAAAATTCGACAGATTCTTAGACGCGTATTTTTGATTAAGTAAAATTGCGAAATTTAATTGTGGCTAATTTATCTTAGCTGTTTAATGAGCTGTTTAGAATGCGAGTTACTCTCGATTGAGATCGTGAACATGTGATTAACATTTGACATTCGGGCTGACGATTTGCTGTGGAACTGTGCACCACATGCTCTGCTCTGGCCTGGCCTGGCGCGGCCTGGCGCGGCCTGTCCCGCTACACTTAAGGCAGGCCCTGGGAAACGCCTGCAGTGTCTGCAGATTGCATCCATGTGCCACATCCTGCAGTAACAACAATGACGCTGACGCTGACGCAGACGCCGCGTGGGTATTGCCATCAAAAGAGCAATGCATTTGTTGATGCTCTTCAAGTAGGTAAAATCTATAAACGGGGCACATGTGCACATCGGGCGTTGGACTTGACCTGCTAGCGGGTCGACTGCGACGCTTCATGTGGGTCTCCAATTGAGACGAGGCGAGGGCCGGCGAGATTTTTAATTTTAGAGGCACCTATATAAACGTCTGTTTACAATGCGCTTAGAGGACAGTCGCGTTTGCCAGGGCGCAACGTTAACGTTACGATTTCTCACTCTCTCTCGACTTGAGTTTGGTTCCTAAATCGAAACTGCATTCGTTTGTGAGCAACGCGGATTTTGTTTTGTGTGGCACATTTCTTGCCCGGAATGTCAATAAAAACCAAAAAAGAAAAAAAAAAAGATACAAATTAAACAAAAAATGTAAAGAAAAAATCGTTTAAGCGCAAAGCCAAAGCCATGCACAGAGACGCAGCGGGTGCTGGGGAGTGTTTGGGTCTGGCCATGTGGCGCAAAATATGCGCATAAAAAACAAAGTCCAAACAAAAAGGGCGCAATTTTATTGCGGGCGCCGCGATGCTCTACACACACATACACACACTCAAACAAGAAAAAGAAAAAAAAAAAAAACAACAAACAGCTGGAAAAAAGTTTATGAATTTTTTGTGCAGGCGCGTGAAAAATGTAACACAACAAAAAAAACAGTAAAGTAAAAACAAAAGCAGATACTACGCGAATGCGAGTTGTATTCAAGTTGTATTCCGACAGCCACGCCTCCCTACCCCATACCGCCCAGTCACATATAAACACACTTCAGTGCGCTTAAAAATTGCTTTATTGCAGTTGGACTATAAAAACGCACGGCAAAAGTATTAAGCACAATCCCACTTCCAAAAAAAAAAGTACAAAATAATAATAAAATAAAAATAAAAGTAAAAACCAGCAAAGCCAGCGAGAAACAGGAAAATTTGCAAGCCACAGCCGGAGCGCAAGAAGCACAAGGATGCCAAGGATTTACTTCTAAAACAGTAAAAGAAATAAAATCAAAAACAAAAAGCGAAGCGCAGCAAATACCAACTGAATAGTTGGATATGAATTGCCCTGCAAATTACAGTTAGAGTATTGTGTAAAATGTTTTGTTGCAATTACATTCAGCGTTGTCATTATTTAAGTGAAACACAGACGGACTAAAGTGGAAGCTAAATCACACAGTGAGTAACATTAAAGAGAAGAGTGTATGGCCCACAAATGGGTCTTAAATTGTTCATTGAGCCTTTGAGAGTTCCATGCTTCCTTGCATTCAATAGTATTTATATAAGCATATGGAATGTAAAGAAGTATGGAGCGAAATCTGGCCAAGCATCATATTAAATTATATAAAATTAATAAATAATATATATATGTAAAGAAAAAAAATAAAATATATATAAAAATATTTGTAATAAAAAAAATAATTTAGTGCAGTCCGATAAAAAGTTTATTTCTTTAAAAAAATTACATTACTAAAAAAATATCCTTTTAATTTTCATGTATAATAATTACAAAGTAATGTGTGTGGTTTTTCGTAATATTAGTCGAGGCTAAAAAATATTTGAAAATATTTCGCTCTGACATGTTGTGTATTCACATATACTTTTTCTATATTTTAATGAATAGAATACCATTTTATCTCTTTCTCTTGAATATTATTTGATATTCTCTATTTTGTATGTAGATTTTCTATATTTTAAAAACATTTTCGGTATGTCAACATTTTGAATATCCTTTCACCAAGGCCAACAGCGAAAAAGTCAAATACCAAAAATATCTACCAAATGGTAGCACTTACATATATTTGGCTATGGAATGACTCATGTTAAAAATAGCAAACGAGCAGCAAACATTTTGAAATATTTGAAAATATATTTGCGTATATATGTATAAATAAATATATATGTAGATACAGCTGTGTGGGTGTTGCTGTGGCCGTATTTTGCCGCGTATCGCATTTCGTTGTATCTATTGAAAATGTTGTTAAAAATAAATTCGAGTGGACGAACCATTTGTGGAGCATGGCAACAAGAATGTTTGTTGTTTAGTTAAGTTTGCTGCACATATTATATAAACAGTGAGTAGGTGAGTGAGTTTATCCAGGGCTTTTATGGCTTTGCGGGCGCGAGCCAGTTCGAATTGCAGTTAAGCACAGGACAACTAAGCCCCAAACATGTGCAGCAAAGTGGATTTAGCCAGCTAAAATTATCGCCGGCTGCCGCTGGCTGAGGGCTATATGGCGCATGTGACGCCATTCAGAGGAGTCGGTGGCTATAACTTAATGCAATTAATATGCAAAATCGTGACACACACACAGAGAGAGTGAGAGAGAGACAGTGAGGGAGAGAGAGACAGAGAGACGGGAGTATAAGGAACACGTGCACAGCATGTGCGGAACGATGCAGTCAACCAGGTTCAGGTTCAGGATCGTGTGCAGCAACAGTAACGAATCTAGCCGGTGGGAGTGCACAGGCATGGGCGTGGCTCTTAGTATGGGAGCCATCATCATCATCGTCGTCGTCGTCGTCGTCATGGCTGTAGTCGGTGGAGCGCATTAAAAACAGCGCAGCGAAGGCAAAGTGCGCCAAATTGATGAGCGTCACGTGCGTTTTGCTCACTTTGTGCCACGCCTGCAGCTGGCGGTGTCATTCGCCATGTGTGTGGGTGTGTGTGTGTGTGTGTGTGTGTCTGTGGGTTGGGCATGTGTGTGTCTGTTAGTGCTACCAGATTGGCGGGTTTCCTCAATTGTTTTTCGGCTGCTTTTATAGCTACAGTGTTAAAACTTAAATTTATAAACTTTAGAAGGTAAGTATTTTTTTATTTAAAGCAATAGTACGCAATTAATTGAGATGTAGGTCTACTAGTCTGGAGATCAAAAGCTAAGCACGATATAAAAAAAAAAAAGATTTATCAGGAATGAGCGAATGCGTAACAACATGTATAAAATGGCTCATTTGTAAACTGCATAACTTTTATTATATATGATTTTTTGCATTTTAAATATGAAAAAAATAATAATAATAATGATAGCACGGAAAACACTATACAAGCGTGCAAGAATAACCCGTCATCAGATGTATGAAACCTGTTTTTACACATATCCAAAACTAATGCAATTTGATTGAACAACTTTTTTACTAGTTTTATTCACCCACATAACATTCAAGTTCCCAACTGCGTACACGGCATCCTCCAGTCAATATCTTTTTAGATTTGTTTTAAAATATTCAAGAATTTTATTTTTTGCTTTGCCTTTGCAAACAACATCAAAAACCTTTCACATTTGCTCAGCGGAAGTTTGTTTATTTAGCTGTGAATACTTAGCCGCATTGCAGCTAAATTCTGCAGCTGTCGCCCGAGTTCTTCTCTAGACTGTTCATTCAGTTATAAGTTTGTGTTGCCCTTGCTGCCGATGCTGTTGTTGCGGGACAAGTCGTAAAAGTAAACAGAGCATGTGCTGCGTAGCCACAGTGGCCGGAAAGCAAGTGTAGTACCCATAGTTCTCGTATTACTCGTCGTACGAGTTGCATGCTATAAAGCGCTTAATTTTTTTACGTGTGCGCAATTTCTACAAGGTGAGAAATATGGCAAGCTATACGGGTGGCAGGGCTGGCTTGCTTGATTTTGTGCAGTCCATTTATAGGGCTTACTCACACACGCAGACACACACACACACACGCAGCACTGTTGGAGATTCGACTGCTTAAAGCCGTTGACAAATATTTGGTAGCAAGTGAACTCAGCTTGGGCACAAATTGACCCACATTTCGGACACAATCGCTGACCCCTCGATGGACGCAACTGCCGTCAGTGCCACGCCCCCCTTTTGTGCTGGAAGCAGCATTAAATATTATGATGACGCCCGCAAAATGGCAAATTAGTTTCAATTAAATAATGTTGTCGCAGTTTAGAGACAGCCCAATAGACGAGTCTTGCACAACATGCGGCCGCCTCGAGGGGCGCACATTCATGCTGGGCTCATGCATAACGCAAATGCTGGGCATGTACGGTGCAGCGGGTGCCGCAAGGAGCAACGGCATTCTTGTCATCGTGCTCGTCCTGGCCTCCCAGCATGTCCATGCAATAACGATTGTGGATTCAACATAATGCCCTCATAATTACTGCACACACGCCTCAAAGTGGCGGCCAGGGATGTCGCTGGCCAATGAGTTGACAGCACATTAGAATCTCGCTCCAGAGCAGCCCGAGCAGCCCGAGCAGCCCGAGTCGCCCAGTCTCTGGGCTGCAATTTGCATTAAGTGTGCGCTTTGTGTTATTAATTTAAAGTGTTCTCAGTTCTCATTAGAATCTATATGCGGTGCCTTCAATCCTCTTGACTTTAATTGACAGAGAGGCGAGATATTTTTCATTTCAAATATGTGCTATGAATAAATTACAAATTTATGCCTTGCTAA